GCACGAAAACATTTCGAGAAAAAAGATGTGTGTGGTGTGAATGTGTTGTATTGCTTGTCGAGTAAAAAGCCTGTCTGTGTTTATCAAGGCTTTTTTAACATAATCCAAGAATGTCATCACAATGTCGTTCATGGAGGTCGTGACAAAACTTTGGCGGAAGTTAATTCTCATTGGTCATGCGTGCCGAAACGAGCCGTGGAAATCTATTTGAAACATTGCAGTGCTTGACAGTTGAGACAGCCTGTCAAACAGCCAACAGTATCAAAACCCATTATTGCTCTTGGATTTCTAACTCGATTACAAGTCGATCTCATTGACTTTCGAACTCGTCCTGATAATGTTTCTCAAGATATCAAGTATCAATGGATCCTTCATGCCATTGATCACTTTTTCAAATATACTTTTGCCTATCCACTCAAAACAAAGTCAGCCGTTGAAGTGGCACAACATCTCCGTCAGCTATTTTATACCTTTGGTCCTCCTCGTCTTCTCCATTCGGATAATGGATCTGAGTTTATTGCTGCCATCGTAACCGAACTCAAGTCCTTGTTTCCGTCAATGTCCTTCATTCGGGGGCGCCCTCGCCACCCCCAAAGCCAGGGGGTAATAGAGCGTGCCAATGGAGTATTAACAGACGCTTTGGGAAAATGGATGTTTAGCAACCAAACTGATCATTGGAGTGAAGGGCTGATGCCGGTGGTATATGGTATTAATACAAGAGTTTCCCAACCAACCAAAGTCACCGCTTATGAAGTCGTTTTCGGCCAGAAAGCTCGATGTGATAGTGACTATTGGCGTGTTGTTAATGAACTGAATTGTGTTGATGAAGATGATCTACCAACACCAGTTGGAGTAGGAGATGGTTACAAAGATAATATTGACAAAGATGTGAATAATGTTATTGAATCATTGTTGGATCTTTCAGAACATGTGGCTCCTGCTCCTCCATTATATCTGCTAGACGCGTCAATCTCTATCATTGAAACAGAACCTCAAGTGAATCCTCCATATACTGCCGACGTCTCTGTTAATCTTATGTCATTCACATCACCCACAAAAATACCTGTTCAATCATCAACAAAAGCTCTACCACGTAGTCCTGTCTTTAATTTTTCTTCTTCCTCGTTGTTCAATTCCAAAGATGATAATGAAGTACAAGTTACAGAACCTAAAGAACAGAAAACTGGCTCCCCTACACATGACAACAAATTATTGAATGATTTGGACAATCTTATCAATTTTGACGATGAGCAGTTCCCTCGAACTACTGCCGCACCTATTGTCGTTTCTAATCAGCCAACTGGTATGTCTGCACCATCAAGATCAATTCCCATTACATCCTCTCCAATTTCATCATCCTCTGCTGTATCAGAGGCATCAAGACACAAAAGGATACGAGAAACAGCCGAAAAGAATTATTTACAAACGACCAACAAAAAACGAATCAAATATGACCAGCATCTGAAGGCAACGGCAGAGAAATTCAATATTGGTGACTGTGTCGGGTTGAAAATCGACTCTGTTGATAGAACAAATACCGATCCAAAATTATTGCCATGCATAATAACAGCCAAAGAGAAGAAGAATGATTCTCAAATATTCAAACTGGCTTCTCAATACGGCAAATTGGTCACTACCTATACAGCTGAATCCTTGGTCGATCTAAAATCTTCTTGTCTCCAAGAATTGAGAGCTATAAATTTGGATCAACTGGCTGATATAAAGTTCATTGAGGCGTGTAAATTATTGGCTCGTGGATCAATCAGTGGTAAAACATGTGACTGCAAGGGTCAATGTCAAACGAAACTCTGCTCCTGTAAAAAACAGGGAGTCTATTGTTCCACAAAGTGCCACAGTCGTCGTGGAGGATGTAAAAATATTTCATAGTGGAAAATGAAAAGGTTTTGTATATAACCTGATCAATGTCTCTCTCTCTATCTCTAGTTTCTTTATTTCTCAGCTTTCACTCTCTCTTCTGTTTCCATGCCCCATTCATACATATCAAGTAAATGGTGCCATTATCTTTATTTTTTTCTCTCTCAACTTTTCATAGAATCTCTTTATTCTTTAGAACAACAAAAACTTTTTTTTAGCCTGAAAAGCATTAAAAAAAAGTAGATTTATTTCGCATAACTATAACTGATCTATTACAATGAGGGTTGAAGTCATTTCGTGTAGTAGTTAATGATGTTAAAGTTTCGTAATTCGCTAAATTATAGATTGCTAGAGAATGGATAAGGAACGGTTGGAGTAAAGGCAGTAACAGTGGTGCGCAAATAAATCACAAAAAAATAATAAAACAGAAAAAGTAAAAAAAAGCATGTGCACGACCATATAGGACTATTCCGTGCCAGCCACCTTTACGCGGTGGAATAGATAAGTAACAGTTGCATGATAAAGGGAAACTAAGTGCGGGTATACTTTTTTCCTTTGTTTAGAATAAAAAAAGCTGTTTTCAGCCTGTTAGTAACGAAGAGAAGATACAGGACATAAAGATCAAAGGAAACAGGCTGTAATATTTTCTGTTCGCGCCATAATTGAATGAAGCCAATTTCCTCTCCTAATTCGGTGTCCTCTCAGTTCGTCCCAAATTGGCTTTGTAAGATCAAACAACATCAAAGGGGTGGGCCGAACTGAGAGTAAACCCCTAATTCAAAGTATTGGAAAAAGCTGTTGGTTCTGTTAATGATATGAGCAAGAATAAGTTTTATATCATCATTTCAGAAAAACCTTTGAAACTGGGTCATTCTCACCTGCAAACTTTTTTTAGAAGTGATCATGCATTTTTGCGTTAAAACTGCCACCAAAAAAGCTTTCTTTTCTAAACAATATTCGAATGGTCTCGGCAAATAAGTTTTATCCTCTCCAGTTGATATGTATAATTTAAGAATAAATCTTTCCGAACGCATATCCTTGTTATTCAAAATCGTTTTTTAATGCACTTGACTCGGAAATCCATGCTGTATTAGATGATTTCAATTTAGACCAGACTAATTTGAAATCAGAGTAGTCCAAATTAAAATTTTAATCTGGCCTAGTCTGATTTCAAATTAGGCTAGTCCAGATTCAAATCAGCATGTGCAAGCATTTCGATTTTAATTTAGACTGGGCCAAATTAAAATTTGAATTTAGCCTAGGCTAATTTAAAATTGGCCTAAATTTGAATTTGGCCTGTAACATATACATAAGGCGCTGCTAATTCAAAGTCACAATACTATTTTATTTTCTCAATATTTACACATGGTTAGATAGAGAAGAGCGAGCTGGATCCGAAAATCCCCTTTTAAACCTCCCTAGATCTTTTCCTCACGGTGAAAAACGAAAACTACAGGATGGATGCTGAAATCGAGAAAACTCGTCCTTCGAGAAAAGCGACGATAGTTTTTTCTCAGTGCATTTCAGACCTTTGAAACATTTCCCTTGGAAACAAATTTTTTCCCACGTAATATGCGATAACTTCAGAGCCACATCATATGCAGTTTGCAATGGTGATTCAGAAAAAAGATGTTTCAAAGCTGCGAAATACAATGAGAAAAACTATGGTCATTTTTCTCGATTTTTTAGCATCCTTCGCGTAGTTTTTCACCGTGGTCATGCCTTTTTGGTCATGTTTTTCACCGTGGAGAGGTTTTAAAGGTGATTTTCGGATTCAGCTCGCCCTCCTCTATACAACCATATGTAAATATCGAGAAAATAAAATAGTGTCGTAACTCTGAATTAACGGCGCCTTAGATCATAAGTTACCCTGCCGTCATATCGAACAACTTATTAAATTATGAGGTAATGAAGTACAGAACTGCTATAAACATGATTAACTAATCATAATGTATTTATTCATAATGTATTTATTTCATTGATATTTCGACAGAATCCACTGTCATCATCATGGCAGTGGATTCTGTCGAAATATCAATGAAATAAATACATTATGAATAAATACATTATGATTAGTTAATCATGTTTATAGCAGTTCTGTACTTCATTACCTCATTATTTAAATCATTAACTGCTCTTTCTCCTAACTTATTAAATTGCTTAATACGGTAATTTTAATTTAGAATAAAAAGGAAATAATCAAAGAAACTTTCGTAAAGGAAACTTCGCCCTTTCCCCATAGTTTCAGTTTTGCTTCCAGTTTGTACATTATGTCGGATTTTAAAAGATTCAGTATTTTATTCTTGTTTTAAAAAAATGCACCAAATAATTCTAAATAATTTTCAAATTAATTTTTTCTGCCTACAGTTTTAGTACAATGTTCAATTCAATCAAAAAAATGTT